TCACACTCACACACACTCACACTCACACTCACACTCACACTCACACACACACACACACCTTATAAGGGATCAACAAAAGTTTCCCCTTTTGTACAGATGGTAATGAAATTGAAAGACTAACACTGTGTAGGTGTTCAGCTACATTTAATTGTTTTGATGCTATTTCATTTTTTAGATTTAGAATATATTTCAGTATGGTATTACTGTAGAAATATAGCAAATTTCAGTCTTGTTCACTTTTGGATTATGTTAGCTTTTGAACTTAAGTTTAGCTGTTTTGAAAAGAGTGTGTAAATTGGCCTGCAGGTACATTTTTTAGTTTTTGTGGTTTTACACAGTTTTTGTGTCTAAATGAGAAAATAATTTGTGTAAACAGAGATTCAAAGCAATGGAAAATGGTCACAGTTTAGCCACATGAAAAATGTACCTAAATATTGACAAAAGGGTCTTAGTTACTAATTGTACAGTGTGTGTTTGATTTTATTTTTGGATTAAGCCATCAAACTATGGAGTTGTATTAAATAACTGTGATGTTTTGTCTTCAAACCTCCATCAGTCAGAGGCACAGGATCACTGTAACCAAAGCTCATCCTTACTCTCACTTGTCCTCTATTTACAGTACTCATACTCATCTGAATTTATTTCATTTCAGTGAGCGATCACTGGCTGTTTTCTGAAGATTGCTCCGTGAAGCGTTTCTGCAGCTCTCCAGACGGTGTCATGGTGTGTGGCAACACGGATGGACAGGAAGTTTATGCTGTTACACATGACATAATTCCTGCCAAAGGCTGGGTCATGCAGTTCAAGGTAAACTCTCACTGATGCATGCATGCTCTCCAGCCATCAGTCATTTGTTTAGGCATCGGTTTCTATGACGGGTTGTAGTCATAACTGTGATTATTTGTGCATGCAGATGGATAAGTATGTGTGTTGTTTGTCAGATTGCAGTTGGCTGCAGTGTGCCGGAGAAGCCTGCAGAGAGACAGATTCATGTTCAGTACTCCGTGAACTTCGGTGTGACCTGGAAGTACCTGGTTCCTCAGTGTTTACCTGCAGATCCTCGCTGTGCCGGACTGGTGTCGCAGCCGTCTGTGTTCTTCCCGGCCGACGGCTGGAAGCGAGCGGTTTATCCTCTACCAGACGGTCTCGCAGACACGTGAGAGATCGCAGACACTGGCTTGTACATGTAGCTGAAATCAGTTGCTGAGTTCTTCCAATGCTAGAGTCCTTTCTCAAGGAGATGTAATGCGTAATGCAAGAGAATAAACCAGTTTTATCTCATATTCATCATGTCAGCAGAGGATCGTGAACAGCAAAAACACACCATGATTCAGTTTACCAAAGACACGGTTTTTCATGCAGTAGTAGTCAAGTACTGGTTGAATCAACAAACTCAACCACATTCCTTCTGACACAAAGTGAAGTGCATCTACTCTGTTTTATTTGCTTTGAAAACACTTTTGCAAGTGTTTCTAAGAGCACAGGAATGAGAGTTCTCTATAATCTTCAGGTGAGTGATGGATGTTCTGGTGTCGTTCACAGAGCGGTGCGCTTCCGCTTCTATCAGAGGCATTCAGATACCCAGTGGGCGGTGGAGAACTTCTATATCGGACCTGCTTGTGAAAACCACTGCGGAGGTCACGGAGACTGTCTCAGCACCCTCCTGGACAGCTTTGATGACGGTCAGTCACGGGTTACTCACAGTGGCACTGAGATATCCTGAAGTCTGGATCAGTGAAATATGATCCTGGAATCATGAAAAAAACATGAGACTTCTGTCTGGCTTCTGTCCATATTATAGAGCTGCACTAATGTTCTCCTTCCTCCAGAGGGCGTCTCTCATGAAGAGAGTTGGAGCTTCTATCCCAATGCTGTCCGTACGGCCGGCTTCTGCGGAAACCCGTCGTTCCACTTGTATTGGCCCAACAAGAACCAAGATGGGTCGCACAACATACTGGCCACCCGTGAACTCATTGTTCAACCTGGATACATCTTACAGTTCAAGGTTTGAGCACAAGATGTTTGAGATCATTCAGTTTTCACACGTAAACACACAGGTATGCAGTGACTCTGGTCTTTGTCCACTTTAGATTGTGGTTGGCTGTGAGGCAGACCGATGTGATGACCGTCATTCAGTGCTTGTACAGTACAGAAAGGATGCCAGGTGAGTACAGATGACAGATGTGCATGTGAAGCCTCCTTCATTTTTGTAAGCATATGGCATTCTGGTCGTGGTACAGCTCCAGTTTGCAGCCATTGTTATTTCCATTTTTGCAAGATTGTCTATATACAAGCTTTCTCCTCCTTTTATCTGTTGCATGGGTGTCCAATCCTGGTCCTGCAGAGTTTAGCTACAACTTGTCCCAACACAACTACCTGGAAGATTCTAGTAGTCCTGCTGAACTTGGTTCAGGTGTGTTTAATTGGGGTTAGAGCTGAGCTCTGCAGGACAGTGGGCCTGAAGGCGCAGGATTGGACACCCTGATCTATTGTCAAAGCCCAGTGTTAATGGCAGTTATCTTTTGGGAGAGAGGAAGGGGAGTAGGAAAAGAAAGGAAGAGGTAATATGTTGTCTAGTAATGAAGTTCCTTTCCTCCACAGGTCAGACGTGTGGCAGTTAGTCCAGTCCGCCTGTCTCCCTTCTTCTGCCAACAACGTGGGCTGCTCACCCTTCCAGTTCCACGAGTCCACGATCTACAGTCCTGTCAACAGTTCAGTGTGGACCAGAGTCACCATTCAGCTGCCTGACCATGTGTCGTCTGGGTATGGCTTTTAGGGTCTTAAAGGGTCTTTTTGAGAGACTGCATTATCATTAAGATGTGTGGAGGTAGTTTGTTGTTAAAAGGGCTTATCCATAAGTCGCTAGTATTGCTGACGGTCTCAGGTATTCAGGCATTAATGCACATGTCTATAAGTGTCTGACTCTCCTTGATGTCTTCAGTGCGACACAGTTTCGCTGGATCCAGCACGAGGCCCCTGGCGAGCGCTACAGCTGGGCCGTGGATCACGTGTACATCGGGGAAGCGTGTCCTGGACTGTGCAGCGGTCACGGCTACTGTACCAGCGGACCCGTCTGCATCTGTGACGAAGGCCATCAGGGTGGGCATCAGTTCTCTATAACTCTGTGATTCCGTGAAGTTTACAACAGAACAAACAGGAACAGGTTTTGTCTTTCTCAGGTGATGACTGCTCTTTGTCCAGCAGTGAACTGCCCAGCTCTATAAAGGATAACTTTGAGTCTGGTTCGGTGTCTCAGGAGAGCTGGAGTTTGATTCAGGGCGGCGGCGTGGGCAGCGGATGCGGTCAGCTCTCTCCTCACGCTCACGGGGACTCGCTGTACTTCAACGGCTGCACGATCAGACAAGCCATCACTAGACCTCTGGATCTGACCCGTGCTAGGTACAGCAAGAAATATTCAAGTCATCCTTTTGTTTTCTTGCTCATTTCAGTCATAGATACAATCAGTCACCATCCTCTCAACATCTCTCTCCTCCAGTAAGATCATGTTCGTGCTGCAGATAGGCAGCGTGTCGCAAACAGACAGCTGTAACGCTGCACTGGATCAGGCGGATACGGTCGACCGGGCCGTGCTTCTCCAGTACAGCGTCAATAACGGAGTTACTTGGCACGTCATTGCTCAACACCAGCCAAAAGATTTCATCAAAGCCCAGAGAGTGTCCTACAACATCCCACTGTGAGTCTGCAAACATGCATTACACGAATTACATTATGTCACAAATAATGCTGAATTACTTCTATGTTGTATGTTGTTCCTGTAGTTCAGATGGTAGAGCGTGGTGCTAACAACTTCAAGATCATGGGTTCAGTTCCCATGGGGTGCGTGAACTGTAAAATTTATACCTCGAATGTGATGTAAGATGCTTTGGATAAAAGCATCTGCCAGATGTGTGAATGGCTTGTGTTCAGTGTTCTTGCTTGAAATTCAGTTTGAGAAACATCAATGTACTGGAAGAATGAAGCAGACACAAAGTGACTGTAGGAGGAAATTTAGCAGGAGCAAGAAGAACAGGATGTGATTTATTTGTTCTCATTATTTGTTATCAACTGACATTGGCTATTCAATATCTATTGCAAATTAGAATATCTAATTACGTTCCACATAGCCAAATGCTAAGTCTGATGGCAGCGACAGCTTTCTCTGGTTGTGCTGCTCCGTGTTGCAGTGGGTGAAAGAAGTTGGATTCCATTTTAACAGCCTTGAATATGAAGTGCTGGCGAACACTAAACTCCTGGAGCGCCGAGAAGGTTCTTGTAGTCCGGAGCATGCAGATGAAGGAACCTTTTAGGTTCTCAAGTCCTGAAAATCTAAAACATGCAGATGGAGGAGTCTTGAAGGGAAGGTTGCGGGACAAGTGTCTGTTACTGTCTCCAAGCTCCTTGAACTCAGAACACCTCCCAAACTTACAGTAATTCACTTCCGGTCTAAGGGAACTCTTTTTCTGAACGCTTTGCATACCTTCCTCAAAAGTAGGGTTGGGTATCGATTGGGTTTTTTACGATACCGGTGCCAAATCGATTCTTTTAAAACGGTACCGGTGCCTGAACTGATACTTTAAAAAAAGAGCCACAAAAAAAACGATGGGTAACATTAAAGAGCATTAAAAATAAATATACATAGCATTCACATGCTCCTCGGATGCTCTCATTTCTCGAGTTGTGCTTCCCTTACTCTAAAGGCTAATAAATGTATTTCACGATCTGGGTCATTATTTAATACAAAACCATATTTAATACAAAACCACACATAATGATTCTACTGTATCTCTGTCAATCACTCTGATATTTAGTTAAAATGAGTGAATTGACTGAGTGCTGTCTTTAATCAGTTCTCTGAATGACTGTATGCCACATGCGCTGTAATATGTTTTATATTAAATATTACATTTTCAAATGAAAATAGCAACATGATCGTTTTATAAAGTATACGTTCATATGTGTTAAGGGCTGGATTTCCGCTGGAGGAAACAGCTGTGGTGTGATGAGCGGTGAACAGCGAAAACTTTACAGTAGATGGAAAACCGATTGCTCCTCGTGACCTTTTGTAAACTGTATTTATGACAAAGAACTGCACAGATACAGATATTATAACAATCTATGGATAAACACACACACCTTGTGTCCTCTGTTTCTGTGTGAGTCCCCCGCGGTCTGTGGATGATGGGGAGGAGACGAAGTCTGCCGGCGTTTCATATGAAATTTAAAGGGGACTGACCGATCACGAATTTTGTGTACAGTTTATGGAGCTAATCACTATAGCTCCGCTAAAAATGGCCTAGCGACGCCCATGCTTCTTACCTCCATTTCGAAGAACCAGGACAAATATTTCAATCGATCGCTCAGGCATTTAAGTGGCACCTAAATGAGGCACCGAAACCTGCGTTCTGATTCGGTTCTAGTACATACTAGATTGCATTGGTACGGTTTCGGTACCCAACTCTACTCAAAAGGAGGGGATTGCACTTTGGCACCTTTCTGATCCAATAATATTTGCATTTGAAGTTCACAGTTAAAGCAGTGTCTTCATGATTTTGCCTGTGCATTAGTCACTTTCCAAAGTAATTTAGGCAATGTGCTGAATGCAGAGTTCAAAGATTATTCTGAATGTTTGCACTATCACTTATGCATTCATGTATCTTAATAGCAGAAGGGACTTAATAGAATTTGTCAACATTGTTGTGTCAGCGCTCATTAAGCATATACTGTTTACATTTGTATACATGCTCCATTTAGTTTCTGTGTGTAGAGGTATGCACTATCACATTAAATCTCATGGAAATGAAAATGTGTGGAAAGGGAATTTAGACGGTTGTCATCCTCTCTGCCTGCTGTCTATTACAGGACCTATCAATAGTTGTTGGTTAAAACAAAGTTGATATGAACTGGTTCTTACCTAGGCAGTCCATCAGTTCATCCGCTCTGGGCATGGGGTAAGTGCTGAACTCAGAGATGTCATTCTGTTTCTGGAAATGAAGAAATGAAGAGTCTGTGGCTTTGCATCTATCATGATGGACCTGAATCATGGGCTTTTCAGTGTTTCAGTTTCACTCATACGTAACATGCACTGTACTTTGCCTCAGAAGGGCCACTGGCTAATGTTGACTCCAGGAATGTTAAAGATTTATTCTTTCATAGTGTTTCCCAACCTTTTTATTACACTCTCATATCAGTATCAGTTAGGCTCAATTACCCCCTCACTGACAAGAAATCTTACTCTGGTAAACTGAGGTACATAGCTGTTTTACTCGCAGCAAGTTGAACAGTTTGGTAAAGAGTAAATGAACATGTGCAGACTGGCCTGTAGGTGTCTGAGTGAGAAAAGAACGCATGTCATTTGAAAGATTAATTTCATTGAATTTTGTGCCAAAGCAATGATAAATGATTTAGCCACATAGCTGCTGTTAGGTGCACTGTGTGAATAGCTTTGAAAAGTGACCTAAGTATTGAGAAATGTGTCCTAGAGATTGTAAAAGACTGTAATTGTGAAATAGGAAGAGGACAGTCAGTCTGGTTGTGAGGCACTCCATTGATGAATGTAGTTCCTGTCACCTATATACTGTTAGAGAAATCTATCTGGTTAGAGCATGAACCGGAGCTTCATCACATGCAGTGGATCCTTCCAGTCATGTTTTCTCCTGGACTAGCTCTGGGTGGGTGCGGATCGGTTGGTCTGCTGGCTCATAACCCACACCTGTGTCCCCACACGGCCTCTAGCGCTTCTGTCCTGGTTAGGGGATCGTGCACGCTCACTGCTTGCTGTATGCATTTGGGTGTGTGTATAGCAGCTGATCCACTAGGACTCTTTCTGCAACTTGGGCAGCAGTGGGTTGCTTTGGGCCATCTATGAATAAGACGGTCCTTATTGGGATGTCTGAAAACTCTTGTGGTTATGGGTGAGATACATATCATGCTTCACTGGTCCTCTTTCTCTGCAAATATCTTAAGCATGTCCCAAACGTTTGTGCTTCCACAAGACTTTTGAGCTTTGTGAGAAATTGGTAAATTATTTTTTATTTTTTTACAATGTTTTGTGCGTATGTTTGGAACATTTAAATGCTGTTGACAAATGTCATTACACTTACATGCTAAGAGTCATTCTTGCCTATTTTCAAGCACCCTGGAGTTTTATCTTAAGATTTAAAATTGTTCTGAATGACATCTGGACTGCATCACTATCGAAGTACATTTATTGCTGTGTTTGTGTCTGTGCTGCAGTGAGGCTCGTGTGAGAGGGGTTCAGTTGCGATGGTGGCAGCCGCGTCATGAGGGCGCAGGGCATGATCAGTGGGCACTGGACCACGTGGAAGTCATTCTGTGAGTACTCCTGCCTTTAATTATGGCAATCATTTTTCCTTCACTCAGACATCAGTAAAATCTTTCAGCACAACTTGGATAACACAAGCTGACACCTGTGAGGAAAGTGCTTAGATTTGCCAGTACATTTTCCTGTTGGGCTTATAATGAAGTACACTCGTTATTAATACCATAGTTTTACATAGTGCTGCATTGCCAATAGACATTAAACAGTCCTTGCTCTCTCCCTACACACACACACACACACACACATATCTCAGTCCCGTCCCTCTCACTCAGGTTCTGGTCCTCACACTGCACTCTCTCTCTCTCTCTCTCTCTCTCATCACTGCCCTCCACATGTTCACTGCACTCACCCGTCTGCCTCCACCATCCTCTGCTCTTCTGCAATAACCTTTCCCTTACCTCCACCTAAATGTATGTTCCTCTTTGGCCCCGCTGTTTTCACTCCCAACACAACTCTGTTGGCACTGCATTCCCTCTGTTGCTCTGGTGTCGCAGCTCAGGGTTCTTTCACCCCCAGACCTTTGTGCAAGCCAGCAACAGCCCTGTCCTGCATCTATGAAGAAATTATATGTGCGATGCAGCAATTATCAAACAAGGACCCTGGGTTTGACTGTATCCAAGCGGAATTGCTGAGGCCAGTTGACCTATCGGTAAGCCCCGCCCCCCTTAGTTACTGTTGCGAACTCGGACAAACAAACGGAGCTGCTCACTGTCTTACAATGAGAGCGGTCAGTGTGAAAACCTTGTCCCTTTATCTTTTTGATCAATTTTGGACACAGAAGGACCACCATTCAAGTGTGACTTAAATATGCCATGGAGGGATATATAAAAGATTTAAAAATACATATTGTGGGTATTAATTCGGAAGCGAGGGTTTACAGATCACAATGCAAGCAGGAGAAGCCTCATGTTACGTTCGTCACGATCGCAGATAACAACATCCCGGATCAACACTGTTCATGTATCGCAGGGTACGATTAAATTAATGTACATTTAACCAGTTTAATATGGAGAGGCACTGAAATGTAAACCTTCGTTTATGTGTTTTTGACCTACACTGTAGCTACATGACAGTTAGCTATGTACATTACACTCACTAACTTTAACGTTAGATAGTTTTAGCAAGAGATACCTTGCTTAAGCACAAGATGACATTAATGTTCTGCTTGAGCAGATGAAAATTGTAACTTAATGAGAGTATGACAACCAGAAAACGAAAGTTTTTGTCTTCATTGGGATTGGGGGTGAATGCTTTGGGACATTTTGCTCCGTTTTGTTTGGGTTTAGGAAATAGAATAAAATAAATTCC